AGTTAGTTATTAGCAGAGGACTAAGAGTTCTTCTCTTAACATGCTGTATAGGGGTCCCTAAGGGATTATTGCTAGTTTGCTGTCCTGCTTAATAAGCTTAATAGTATAGTTAATATCTACTCCTCTGTGTAGAGCTAGTTTGTCTACTTCTTCCTTTATAAACGTCTAGAACTCCTCCTTTAGGTAGTTAGGGAGGAGGGCACAAGGGTCCCTAGAGGCCTTTTTTTTTAAGGCTTTCTATATGTCTACTATAGAAGTAGAGAAGATTTCTATTAAAGAATCTTTCTTTAACTACTTTTATAGTGCCCTGTACAGCTCTAGGCTAACCTACTATAGTACTAGCTCTAGTCTAATGCCTTCTTTGCTCTGCACCCTTGTTATAGACAAGTAGATAAATAGTGACTTCTTAGCTAGCGCTAGGGTCACTTTATACTTATCTATCTACAGGCAGCCTAAGATTAGGTTGTATTCACGTTCTCCTTTAAGGACGTACGCAAACATCTGTTTAATATAGCTATTAATATTAATCCTTATCCTAACTACTTTCTTTAGCTAGGTTATCTTACTAGCTATGCTAACAACTTGTTTCCTTAGTATAGAGATACGCCTAAGGTTGTTTTATATTACAAAGCTTAAAGAGATAATTCTATAAGTTAAGCACCTAGTATTAATTAGTGTGTGTGCTATAGTCTTATTATCTATTAAAACGTGTAATAAGATAGGTTTGCTATCTAGCTATTACTAATAGAACTACTAGAATAACTTGCTATCCTAGTTAACCTTACTAATTAACCCCTGTCTACAACTTAGGATAGGAGGTTCTAGTTTTCTAAATTAGAATTGTTTAAGTCTAAGTATTCCTCTACACTGTTCATTGTGGCAGCTGCGCTAACCTGTACAGTACCTAGTTGTCTAGCTAGGGCTAGCTTGCATCAGTTAACGTAGTGGCCGTCTCTGCCACACCAGAGGCACTGGTTGTTAGCCCTTCGCCTGTTAAGGACCTCTTGTGGTTTCTATTCAGCTCGTTTGTGTTTGTTGTTGTTGTTGTTGTCCACGCACACAGCGTAGACTTTTGTAGGTTCCTAGTCTATCTTGTTATTGTCCTTCCTTCTAGGTTATTATCTAAATAATATATTATAGGTATAAGTCTTAACTTGTCTTAGGTTAGTCTCTACTTTTAAGACTTATACTATAAGGGTCTAAAGTTCCTATTCTTTAAGGACTTCTATAGATACTATCTTATCCTAAAGGTTACTATAGATAGTAGATATATACCTTGTCTTAAGGTTCTATTTATTTTCTTCTTCTCTAGTATTAAAGGCTAGCTAGACAAACTCTGTGTTAAAGGCTTTAAGGCTTTATCTATTTTTCTTTATTATAATTATCTATAGCTTCTAATAAGATCTTTCTTTAAACTAGGTGTCTTAGTATTATTTATTAAGGAAGCTCTAGAATTCTATAGTTAATCCTAACAGGTAGCAGGATTTCTAGGACAGACTAACCTAGGTAGCTTGCCCTTCTAATTAGTTAAACATGTATGCTATACCTAGGATTAATTAATATTCTCCTATAGAAGTAAGCTTGTCTATTATCTAGGACTTAAATATCTAATAGAGCTAGCAGTTACTATTAAACTTCCCTATATTAGGAAGCTTAAGCTTTGTAAAGCCTAACTAGGTTACAGTAGTAGCTATTATTAGGGTAGGAGAGATATTAGCTGTTGCTAATCTCTACTGTTCCTTGTCCTTGTACGCCTGTATGCCTACTTAGATAGCCTGTTGTATATATTTGTTTGTTATGTTAACTATTAGTTAGGATTGCTAAGGTGTTTGTAGAGGGTTTAGAGGTCTAGTTGTTAGCTGTTCAACCTCTAGCAACCTGACTGTATCTTCAGGCAGGGCGGCCTAGGCCAAGTAAGTGGCTAATAGAGTTAGAGCGCGTTCGTAAATAGTCTCTAGCCATTCTGCAGGTGCTAGAGTGCTTGTGCGGTGTTGCAATTCTGTGCAAACGTCTAATTAGGAGTTAGTACTTAAGCAGAGTTTAATTCTATATTTAATAAGGCGCCCTATAACAGTGTTAGTGTTTTTGCTTATTGTAAGTAGTTTCTTATAGATGCTTAATAAATAAACAAATAAAGAGGATAAACAAATCTAAATATAAGGAGCTAGCCTCTGCAGGCTATTTGTAAGTATAAATTAAATAGATTTATTAAGGAGTAGCTGCAGGTAGAGGTCTGCAGACTTTTATGTCCTCTATGCAGAGGTTACACAATTAGTCAAGATTGGGACCTCCTGACTGGGGGTACGGCTGGGCAGGCACCTCCTCTCGGAGGTTGGCTGAGGCCGGCGAGCGCCGAGGCGCTACCATCGGGCCTAGCCCGTTACAAATAGTTATTAAGCGTAGAAGGTTTTAAGCTTGATGTTCCTTGCTAAGACACTAAGTTAAGATTCTTCGCTAGGGCTCTAGCAGCCTGAATGTTAGAAAATATAAGAATATTATTCAAGAATAACGTAAACCCCCAGCACCCGGGCCAACCCAGCACCCGGGCCAAAAAAGCTTGGCAGTACCAACTCACGTTACAACTCTTCAATTTCATCGCTATTTAACATAGAGCCTACGTACACTATGCTTGTATCTAATTTAGAATATGCCTCTATATCTTTTTTGCACATTCGCGCGTTGTGTCTAGTCCCTCTATAGTTTCTACAGCGCTGTAGAGCTAGTTAAGCTTGTTCTTGATTACCACCACCACAAGCCTTCTTCAACCGCTCAGCGGCTACAGAGGCCTCTGTGGCCACCTGAGCTGCTGCCTCACCATACTCTATAGTACTACCTTGCTAGATCCACTTCCTTTTGCGCAATTTCTGCTTAGTTATTACTGCTAATTACTCTTTAAGCTTAGTAATCTAGGCTGCTTAAAGCGCGTTCTAATACAGCATAAGCTCACCACCTCTAACAAGCTAAGAGAAGCCTGCTTACGCAGTAATAGGCAACTAAGTAAAAGACTTGCGTACAAGCTTTAACTAAGATCTAAACTTATAGGTATTGCTTAGAGTCTTTAACTGCCACAGCGTCTCTAGGAGGAGGGGTTCTAGCAGGGTACGCAGGCGCACTTTAAGG